TGTGACTTTATTCCTTGGCTCTTGACTGCCAAGATGTCCTTGCACCAGAAAACCCCTTACATTGGCGCTGTGGGATGTATAGGCTCTCTTAGCATCTGTGTTCCTCCTCAGGGCTTAGGTTGCAGCAGGACCTCATCCCTCATCTCCAGTCCATCTGCAACAGATGCACTTTCTGGATCACTGCTCAGCATCTCCTCCACCAGCAATAATTTGTAAGCTTCCCTTTCAGTCAGTTTAAACACTTCCCGAGTCCAATGAAGTGACTGTTGAGCATCCAGCACTGCTCTGGTACTCTTGGAGGACCCCTCGGAGTCTCAACTCTACAGCTTCTTTAGGCCTGATTAGGCTACTGCAACTCTTTCCTGTCCCGCCCCTCGCCCCCTCGCCCCCCCTGCTTTCTTTTCTGCTTGTAATCTCCAACTTCTCTATTCCTCATAATTTTTATGATGGTGTGTGAACTCGTTCCTCCCCGTTCCCATGGATGATATCTCGTTCCTGAGCTCAGTTTTTCATTGCCTTCTGACAAGCCTTCAGGTTTCGTCGAAAGTGCTAGTACCAGGTGCTGAATCTCATCAGGCTGTTGCCCTGGCCCCAGTTTCTCTTATCTTAGCTCCAAGCCTTAGTTTTGTTTTTGTTTTTGTTTTTGTTTTTTTGTTTTGTTTTGTTTTTGTCTAGTCACAGCCCTTCCCTTACTGTGAATGTTCTGCCTTTTTAAGTTATTGTTGATGAATCTGTAAGTCTGTTGCAGATGTGGCAGCCAGAAGTGAGTGGGTCAGAGCAGGTGTGTGTGTGTGTGTGTGTGTGTGTGTGTGTGTGTGTGTGTGTGTGTGTGAGAGAGAGAGAGAGAGAGAGAAACAGAGACAGAGACAGAGAGAGACAGAGAGAGAGAGGTAGCATCTTCTATATCTATCACAAATGTCCTGTCTCTAAGCCTTCCTTGTTTCCAGCTTACTGGATTCAGTCTTTACAGGGATCTGGATATCTTTAGGTATGAGTTATTTTAAATTGTTGTTTTATGCTGCTCCACTTCAATGAAAACTGGCTCAGGAGTTATGGCCGAGCAGGATTTTGTTAAAAGAAGTAGGAAAATGAGAAATGAGTCTCGTGTAAATCGCGGGGATCTACGGGGAGGGAATGGAGCAGAGCAGCCACAGGCAAACCACGTGTAGCCACGCCTAAAGGGCGTGGTCGGTGCCTCAGGTACCTAGTAAGATCTCTCCCTACAATGCCCCTCCCCCAACACAAGTGTACTGGTTCAAAGGTTTTCTCCAAAATCTCTGTCCCATGTGAGGCAAGCTACTTGACAATGTGACAGAGAAAACAGAACAAAACAGGACAAAAGGATAGATTTATTCCCACTAGGAATTATGACTATTCATTTCATGCTCTTTCTGGTTTTGATTTAACTCTCTGAAACTTTTGCTAAGGTGTGAATCTCATCTCAAGATTTATAAGACTATTACATAAACTTTCTTCACCAACCTTACATCTGGCAAAGCTCTGATTTCCAAACTATATAAAGAGCTAAAAAAAACTAGACAACAAACCAAATAATCCAATTAAAAATGGCATACAGATCTAAACATGGAATTCTCAACAGAGAAATCTCAAACGTCTGAGAAACACTTGAAGAAATGGTTAACATCCTTAGCCACCAGAGAAATGCAAATCAAAGTGATTCTGAGATTCCATCTTACACCTGTCAGAATGGCTAAGATTAAAAACACAAGTGACAGCACCTGCTGGTGAGGATGTGGAGCAAGGGGAACACTTCCCTGTTGCTGGTGGGAGCGCAAAACTTGTATAGCAACTTTGGAAATAAATATGGAGTTTTCTCAGAAAATTGGAAATTGACCTACCTCAAGACCCAGGCATATACACAGAAGATGATCTACCATATCACAAGGACACTTGCTCATAGCAGCTTTATTCCTAATAGCCAGAAACTGGAAACAACCTAGATGTCTCTCAGCTAAAGAATGGATAAAGAAATTGTGGTACATTTACACAATGCAGTATTACTCAACTGTTAAAAACAATGACATGGAATTTTCAGGCAAATGGATGGAACTAGAAAAAAATCATCCTGAGTGAGATAACCCAGACCCAGAAAGACAAACATGGTGTGTACTCACGTAAACTGGATATGAGCCATAAATTAAAGGCTAACCATGCCACAATCCACAGACTTAAAGAAGCAAGGAACAAGGAGAGCTCAAGGGGTGGCACATGAACCTCACTGGATGAGGGGTGGGCATGGGAACAGGAGGGATTGGTAGGGGGAGGATGGACCGAGAGAGTACTGGGAGAGACAACTGGAGTCAGGGGACATCTCAGAGATGAACTAGAAACCTAGTACAATGCAAACTCCCAAGAATCTATGAGGGTGACCCTAGCTAAGACTCCTAGCAATGGAGGATATGGAGCATGAACTGGTCATCTCCTGTAATCAGGTAAGACTTCCAATGGAGAGACTGGGACCCCAACCCAGCCACAGAACCTTCAACCTACAATTTGTCTTGCCTACAAAATGTACTGGGGGCAAAAGCAGCACATAAATTATGGGAGTGACCAACCAATGATTGGTCCAGCTTGAGACTATACCACAAGAGGCAGCATATCCCTGACACTGCCTGGAGGGCCAAGACCCAGAGGCTGGACATCCCAGAGACCTAGAATAGAACCAAACATGACTGGCAAAAAAGTCAATGAAATGACTCCTAATGATAGTCTGCCATACTCATAGATTACTGCCTTGACTCAATGGTCACCAGAGAGCTTCATCTAGCAACATATGTAAACAGATGCAAAAACCCATAGCCAAACATTATGCACAGCTCGGGAGTCCTGTGAAAGAGGAAGAGGAAAGATTGTGGGAGCCATAGGGGTCAAGGATACCACAAGAAAACCAACAGAATCAACTAACATGGGTTTGTAGGGGCTCACAGAGACTGAGCTGTCAACCAGAGAGCTTGCAAGGAACTGATCTAGGACCTCTGTGCATATGTTACAGTTGTGCGGCCTGATCTTCTTGTGGGACTCGTAACAGTGAATGCATGAGCTGTCTCTGATTCTGTTACCTGCTTTTGGGATCCTTTCCTCTTCCTGGGTTACCTAGTCTAGCCTTAACAGGAGAGGAGGTGCCTAGACTTAGTGCAATTTGATATGCCATGGCTGGGTGATAAAATGGGAGGCCTGCCCTTTTCTGAAGAGAAAGAAGTGGAAGGAGAGAGAAGACTGGAGGTTATGGGAAGGAATTGAGATGAGAGGGAGAGGAAGGGGAACTGTGATCTGTGATTGGGCTAGAAACTAATTAAGAAATAAAATAAGAAGCAACAGCAAAAGATTTATAAGTATATTGGGTATGATTAAAAATCTTACCAAAAGGTTTAACTTAAAATTTACAACACTAGGGGTTGATAATTAAAAATCTATACATGGGTAATATTAAGGGAACTATGGGGTGTGATGCCATTTTGGGATATAATCAATGTGTGGTTTGCTGCCATCTTAGCTGTTGTACCCCATCTGGATTGAGGCAACCATGTACCTGGCAACCATCTTTGCTAGGACTGGAGAGGGTAGATGCCATGTTATTTCACTGCCATCTTGATTAAAGGTGACCACATGGTGTAAGCTAATCAAAGAGGCAAAAAATCTCCAAGATATTTTGGATTGAGATGGATTTGTGTGTGTGTGTGTGTGTGTGTGTGTGTGTGTGTGTGTGTGTGTGTGGTGAGTCTTGTCCTGAGAATAAGAGGAAAAATTATAAAAAAAAAACAAGGCTTACTAAACAATAGGATTTAAAAACAGCATCTATATTGCTAATTTCTCACCTTCATTAAAGAGTTCCAATGTATCACCCAATCTTACAACCTCACCTTCCATGACGTTTACATGGTTCTTATACATAATCTCCTCCCAGAGGATTGTAGGTAAGTCTGGACATTTATAAGGTTCTCATCAACAACCTTCTCGTAGAAGAGCTCAGGCGAATTTGGGAACAGGCTAGGGCACCAACCTAAGTCTGCCCAGCCAGTTGGGACTGAGGTTGTCCCAACCAGGTTCTGGAGTAGAACTAAACTACAGGGGGTTTTGAGGGATGATTTTAGCAAAAGACCAATTTATAACTCCCCTCCTGGCCTATCTCAGTAAGTCTGCCTTTAAAGCCATAAATTACAAAAAAAATTAAGAGGTTGTCCAGGACACGCCCTACTGGCTAGGGATAACCCTACTGGACATGCCCAAGGTGACATTAAGAGGGACACTGGGATGTCAACTGCCCCTGTGGCCCTTAAGACATGGGGATATCAGACCCAGATTGCCCTTCAGTCAAACTCCTAAGTCTGGCCATGAACAACTGAGGGGGGCCTAGGCTCCCATGGCCTTACCACTGCTGTGTCCAACAGGGAGCCACAGGTGGTCATCAGGGTATCAGGGCAACCCATCACATTCCCTCTGGACACCAGGGCTTCTTACTCAGCCCCAGTGGAATTTCGGGGATTCGCCTCTCCTTCTAGTTCTCTTATTGTCAGGGTAGGGAGGGTACTACTTTACCAACCTCACCAAACCCCGCTGCTTAATTGTATCTTTAGGGGTATCCTTCTTACCCATTCCTTCCCACACACCACCAATCAGCTTGACCCCAGACTCACTGGCTATTCCCCTTCTCCTTCTCCTGCAAACCACAATTGGACAAACCTTTCCCTTTACTGGCCTCCCAGGTGGATCCCCAAGTATAGAGCAACCGAAATCCCTCTATAGTCAAACATCATTCCCCTCTTGCCATCCAATTGCAAAACCCTACCAATTATATTACCAAAGCTCATTACCCACTCTCTCTCCAAAGTCTCGGGGGACTTAAGCCTGTAATCTCTGACCTCTTAAGAAAGGCCTTTTGTGCCCTGTCTTAGTTTTGATTTCTATTGCTATGAAGAGACACCATGACCACAACACCTCTTACAAAGGAAAACATTTAACTGGGGCTGGCTTACAGTTTCAGAGGTTTAGTCCATTATCCTCATGGCAAGAAGCACGGCCGTATACAGGCAGACATGGTGCTGGAGAAGGCCCTGAGAGTTCTACCTCAGGATCTGCAGGCAACAGGAAGTGAACTGTGTGTCACACTGGGCATAGCTTGAATATATATGAGACCTCAAAGCCCACTCCACAATGGTACATTTCCTCTAACAAGGCCACAACTCCTAATAGCACTTCTCTCTATGAATCAAGCATTTAAAAACATGAGGCTATAGAGGTCATACCCATTCAAACCACCCCATGTCCATGGTTTCTCCATTTAACACATCAATTCTCACAGTTACAAAAGCCAATGGAACCTGCTACTTGGTTCAGGATATCCAACTTATTAACCCTGCAGAGGTTCTTCTCCACCCCATAGTACCTGAGCTAGACTCTCCTTTCTACCCTCAGGGACATCTCATTTTTCTGTCCTAGACTTCTTTTCCAATCTTCTTCATCCCCTGTAGCAAATTATCTTTGCTTTCTCTTGGACTGACCTAGACACCCACCTTTCTTTCATTTTAAAATTTATTCTTCTCTCATACAATACACCCTGACCTCAGTTTCCTCTCCCTCCACTCCTCTCAATTCCTCCCCCCTCACCTCCTCTCTCCTTCAGATCCACTCCTCCCTGATTTCCCTTCAGAAAATAACAAGCCTCCCAGATGGATCAACTAAACACAGAATAACAAGTTACAATAAGGCTAGGACAAACCCTCATATCAAGACTGGATGAGACGATCAGTCCAGTAGGAGGAAAAGAGTCTCAAGAGCAGTCAAAGGAGTTAGAGACACCCCCTACTCCCACTGTTAGGAATTCCCACAAGAACACCAAGCTAACAACCATAACATACATGCATAGGACCTAGCTCAGATCCATATAGGCTCTCTGGTTGTTGTTTCAGTCTCTGTGAGCCCCTATGAGCCCTGCTTAGTTGATTCTGTAGGCCGTGTTCTCCTGTTTTCCTCAACTCCTCTGACTCCTATAATCCTTCCTCCCCATCTTCTGTGAGGTTCCCTGAGCTCTGCCTAATGTTTAGCTGTGGGTCTCTGAATATGCTCCCATCAGTTGCTGGGTGAAACCTCTTTGATGATGATTGGGCTAGAATCCAGTCTGTGAGTATAGCAGAATATCATTAGGAATCTTTTCATTGGCTTCTTTTGGCGAGTGACCAGATTTGTTTGGTTCTATCCTGGATCTCTGGGCTATACAGTTTCTGGTTCCTGGCCCTCCAGACAATGTTAATCATGGGCTTCCTCCTGTGTCATGGACCTCAAGTTAGACCAGTCATTGGTTGGCCACTCCCACAAGGTCTGTGACTACATTACACCAGCACATCTTGAAGGCAGAGAAAATTATAGGCTTTGTGGCTAGGCTGGTATCCCAGTCCCATCACTGAGGCTTTGTCTGGTTACAGAAGATGTCTGGTTCTGATTTTGTATACCCCATTACTAGGAGTACTTGTGAGGGTCATCCTGGTAGATTCCATGGAGTTTCTACTACACTAGGTTTCCACATTGCCCCCCAAATGCTCCCCAATTCCAGGCATCTTTCCCAGTACTCTCACCTCCGTCACCCCATCCCTCCTGATCCCTCCTCTTACTTTGTCTGAGTCTGTGGATTGTAGCATGAGTATGTTTTATATAACAGTGAATATCTACTTGTAAGTGAGTCCATGCCATGGTTGTCCTTCTGGACCTGGGTTACCTCACTCAGGATGATTTTTTTCTAGTTCCATCTATTTGCTTGCAGATTTCATGATGCCAGTTTTTTAAATGCTGAATAATGCTCCACTGTGTAAAAGAATCACATTTTCTGTATCCAGTATTTGGTTGAGGAACATCTAGGTTTCTTCCAGTTTCTGGCTATTAAGAATAAAGCTGCTATGACCATAGTTGAGCAAACATTCTCGTGGTACAATTGAACAGCCTTTGGGTAAATGCCCAAAAGTGCTGAAGCTGGGTCTTCAGGTAGATCATTTCCCAATTTCTGAGAAAGTGCCACATTGATTTCCATAGTGCCTACACAAGCTTGCCCACTGGCAATGGAGGGGTGCTCCTCTTGATTCACATCCTTGCCAGCATGAGCAATCGCTTGAATTTTCATCTTAGCCATGCTGACAGGTGTAAGATGGACTCTCAAAGCAGTTTTGATTTGCATTTCCCTGGTGGCTAAGGATATTTAACATTTCTTTAAATGTTTCTCAGCCATATGAGCTTTCTTTATTGAGAATTCTCTATTCTCTATACCCAGTATCTAAATTGGATTATTTGGTTTGTTGATGCTTAGTTTTTTGAGTTTCTTATATATTTTGGATATTATCCCTCTGTTGGATAGGGAGTTGGTGAAAATCTTTTCCGGTCTTGTAGGCGTCTGATTTGTCCTATTGATGGTGTTCTCTGTCTTTCAGATGTTTTTCAGTTTCATGGGGTCTCATTTATTAATTGTTGCTCTTAGGGCCTGTGGTATTGGTGTTCTGTCCAGGAAGTCTTTTCTTATGCCAATGCATTCAAGTCCTTTTCCTACTTTCTCTTCTATCAGGCTAATTTTACCTGGTTTTATGTTAAGGCCTTTGATTCTCTTGGACTTCAGTTTTGTGCAGTGTGATAGAGATGGATCTGTTTGCAATCTTCCACTTGCAGACATCCACTTAGACCGGCACCATTTGTTGAAGATGCTTTCTTTGTTCCATTGTGCTTTTCTGACTTCTTCATCAAAAGCCAGGTGTGCATAGATGTGTGGATTTATGTCTGGGTCTTTGGGAGTCCATTGATCAATGTGTCCGCTTTACGTCAACACTATGTGATTTTGATTACTATAGCTCAGCAGTACAGCTTGAAACCAGTCCCTTACCGAAATCCAACCACATCTCTGCCCAACTGAAAGCAGCCTATAAAACCTCAGACTCCTTTTGGGCAGTGCTGCCTTCCCTTCTCTTGGGAACACAAGCCAGTTCTACCCTAAACAAGGCTTTGCCTTTCGGCTTCAGTGACTCTAGTGATCTGGTGCACTTTCCGCGTCCATTAGATGCGTATTTCTAGATATCTCCTCCTACAAATATATAGAAAAACACACTGAACGAAAGTTGATTTGAATGTGAGAGGCTGGAAGTCAAAGACCCCAAGAAAGCAAATTCCATCCTGCATCCCCGGATTCCAGCGTCCGGGCCCTGCTCTGCGGCCTCCGTGGCATAGGTGGCGCTGTGGTGCGGCTTTTCCCTGCGGCGGGCAGCGGAGGGAGCGCCCGGGAGGGTGGGGCCGGAAGGTGAGCGCTGCGGTGACCGGCGACAGCACGGAAGTGGAGAGAGTTGGAGTATAGCTACCTCGCATCGGCGTCCGCGCTGCAGCCTCGCTGCTTTCGCGAGTGCCCAAGGTCAGGCTCTGCGGGCTCTCGCAGGCGTGTGCTGTGGTTTGCACGCGATGCTACAGCAGGTTGCTGACAGCCGAAGATTCAGACTTAATTGACCGTAGTTATTCCTGGAGGCTTCTAACGCATCTGGGTTTTAGTTCTCCAACGCGAACTCTGGGTTAAGTCCACATCTATAATATTTCGATCAATTGTACCAATCCTTTTTTAGAAAAGTACCAAAATTGAGGATAAGTCTATGCTTGCTTTCCTCAAGCCATAATGCCCTCTGATTCTTTCTTGCATTTTTTGTTATTATTGTCAGTATTACTGGGTTTTGAAACAGGTTTCTCTGTGCAGCTCTGAATGCCCTGGAACTCACTCTGTGGACCAGTCCTCTGCCTCCCGAGTGTCGGGAGTAAAAGAGTGTGCCACCACTGCCAGGCAGTTTAAACTGTTTTAAGGTGTCCTCCAAACTTGAAGGTACCTTCTTAAACACCGAAAGTGTGTAGTAAGTGAAACTAAACAAGTGTTTTTACACTGTCCATTTGAAGCAATTCCTTCTAGAATATATATTTGAAAATAGAGTATTTTTCCTAATCTCTCTCTCTCTCTCTCTCTCTCTCTCTCTCTCTCTCTCTCTCTCTCTCTCTCTCTCTCTCTCTCTCTCTCTCTCTCTCTCTCTCTCTCTCTCTCTCTCTCTCTCTCTCTCTCTCTCTCTCTCTCTCTCTCTCTCTCTCTCTCTCTTCATCTCCCTCTCCCTCTCCCTCCCCCCAGACCTCCTTAGTTCTGGGACTAAAGTCACCACCACCAGCTTTTTTTTCTTTTTTCATACATAGCAGGCTTCAGATCAAAGTTTCATTCGCACAATGGAAGTTCGCTTTTGAAACCACTTACAGGCAAACAAGCTTTAGAGGAGGAAAAAACAGAGCTTCTGCATGCAGCACCCACTCACGTGGTCTCTAAAGTGGCCTGTGTCTGAAATGACAGAAAGCAGACATACATTCCTGTGAGAGCTTCAGGCTACATCTAGAGGGACACTACAGTCAATGACGTATTTAAGGAGCCCCTACCCTCAGTTGCTTATGCCACTGGTGTCACAGGTAGGGTCTAAAGACTTTGGTTTCCTGGAGTAATTTAACTCTCAGGAGTTGGTGAATCCTGCACTGGTCTCAAATGGAACCAGAAAGTCAGCAGTGGGGGGGAAAGACCATAATAACCATAACACACGTGGAGAACTCGTGAGGGAACAACCTTTTCTTGGCAAGTATAGAAAATGGGAAATTCTTTCCTTCTAAGCTGATGTTCCTGACAAAGTAATTAGCCAGTTAAATGCTGAAGGTGACTATTTAGTGGTCACTTCAGTAAAAGTACTACGGAGCACCTAGTTTTCTCCATAACTGAAAAGCTGCAAAATTACTGCTTTCATTTCTGTGTAAACAGAAGCCGTAATGACTTGTACAAAGCACCAGTGCCTAAATGGGACTGCTAAATCTTCATGACATTCACTGTTCATGAGGCTGCCATCTTTCCCTTAGGTTGGCATGGGCAGGTCTGTGGGGTGTTTCTTTCCCTGCTTCTCTGCATCGTGTGGTAGGAATGAAACCTGGGGGGAAAAAACCATCGGTACCTTGAACAGAAGAATCAGAAGACGAAACCACACATTTGGGCTTAACTAGATAGAGACAAGGGTGTTTATATTAAGGAGCAAGCACGTCCTGTCCTCATCGGAGAGTTGCTGACTGGGGATGAGTAGAAATGACTGCTTACCTTACTGCTTGGACAGGGGAGGTCTTCGGGGTCCTAGAGGATGAAGGCTGATTGGCTGGGCTGAAGCTGTCGGAGGAGATACTAAAAAGGAGTGGTACTTCCCTCAGGCTACTATGGAAGAGCCCGTGAAGAAAATAAAACATGGCAGAAATACAGAGTGTCACAGTTTTCTAAACTTAGTTGCTCACCTGAGAAAGGAAGGCGAGGAGAGGGGAGGGAAGGGGAGGAGAGGGGAGGGGAGAGGAAAGGGGAGGGGAGGGAAGGGGAAGGGAAAGGAGGAGGAGAGGGAATGAAAACAATTGGGAACCCTCACTTTACCCAGCAAAACCTAAAGCACCATTTAAAAAAAATCAATCTTTGATCACTCTTGGAGCACATGTAGAATTTAAAAAGAGTGTGTTGTTTGTTTTAAGAGCTTTGGGCCCAACCTGATGGAGTACACCTTTCAGGTCAGAGGTAGGCCGGTGTCTCTGACTATGTCGGGCATTCCAGGCCAGCCAGGGCTGCATAGCAAGTCTTTGTCTCAAATAAAAAGAGGTTTATCAAAAAAAATATATGAAGGAAAAAATATATATTGTTTTTAGGTGATACTCCTCATTAGTCAAGATGTCTTCAACACCCGAGCCTCCAGCAGTTAAGAAGGAACCCACGAAAGAGAGGAACTTTGAAAGCCCAGGCCTCCGAGGGACGCAGACAACAACCTTATTTCGAGCTGTGAATCCGGAGCTCTTCATTAAACCTGTAAGATATACGTCCAGGAGACTTGTTCGCTTTCTATAACATTGGTTTGTATCAAGGACGTTTTATGCTGACTAGGATGACCTCCTAAACTGGTAACGGTGGCTCACACCTGTAACCCCAGCCGTGGGGAGAGAAGGTAGAGGATAAGCAGGGTTTGAGGCCAGTCTGGGGTTACAGTCTGAAACTCTGTCTTAGAAGGTAAAGGCAAGTCTTAAATGCTGTTTCATATAGAAAACTCCAAAGCATGCATTTATATACTGTTAGGTGGGTAGCTAAATTATTTTCTGTTGGTGTTGTAAACTAGTGAATGTATTTCATTTGATGAATTTTATTTTTACATATAAATTCTACTTACAAAAAAAGAAATGAAAAATTTAAGTATGATAAATACTGAAATATTTCAGACTTGATTAGAATTTTAATAATAGCTACCATTGTTAATTGTTTTAAGGTTAAATGGGTCAACTTAATCAAGCCATTAAATTAAAATATTTAAAATCCTTGGCTTCCATGTAATGTTAATAGTTGGAGACATTTAATAATTGCAAATTTAAACGGCTCTGATTTCATAACCTTTCTTAGATGTTTATTCAGATGAAAAACTTTGACACTTATTTCGAGAGTAAGCTTTGAAAATAGTAGTTTCCCCTTATGTGTTTCTCTTTCCAGTTTCTCTGTCAACCATATCCCCCAAATAATAGTATTTGTTTTGACTAAAAAGGAAAATAACATATTATTTATCATTTTATTATAATTGTTACATTTTATGATTGTCATTAATTGTGCATTGTGTTTAGTTTATAAACCAAGCCTAACCTTAGACAAGTGTTAAGACAAAAGCATAGTGTGGACTGTCTGTGGGTCTGGTGCAGTCTTTGATTTTAGGTGTTCACTGAGGTTCTTGGAATGTACCCTCTATGGGAGAATGTAATGAGCCTTTCTCTGTTCCACCAGCCAGCTCCCAAATAACAAGAGGATGACTTATTATTAATTATGAAAGCTCAGCCTTAGCTTGGGCTTGTCCTAACTAGCTCTTCCAACTTAAATTAACCTGCTTTTATTAATCTACATTTTACCATGTGTCATTTAACCTTTCATTCTGTATGTCTGACTCCCTCCATGTCTCATTGGTGTCTCCTCTCTACCTTGAGGTGCTTCCTCTCTCTGCTTAGAGGCCCCACCTATACCTCCTGTTTAGCTATTGGCCATTCAGCTCTTTATTAAACCAGTCACAGAAATACATCTTCACACAGCGTACAAATGTCCTACAACAGGAATGGGGGAATTGCTGTAGTGGACATGGAGGCAGCATCAGAAACTACTCTTTGTATTACTGCTGTACAAGGGAAAGCCAATTTATTAAGTAGAAACATGTACAAAGGTGGACATGTCTGGTTAATATATTTACAGGGATTGCAAAGAAAAGAGAAGTACTTCTCTGGAAACTTTCTGCCCCCTAATTCAAAGCTATATCAGTTTGAATTTTAGAATCTTGGGTTTTTGAGGGATACCCCAAGGTAATTAAAACAGTGTAGTATCTGTTTCAAGTGCTAAATTTCTTGAGTATTAGTTCCTAAAAAAGAGCATACACACACACACACACACACACACACACACACATTTCATAGCTGTATATAATGTAAGTTTTGGGAAAGTTTGTGACAGTTATCCTTGTATTAGGCAGGAGAAATAGCTTGTGTACCATATTCCTCACGTTCTAATAAACTAAACTAAGTTGCAGCTCAGAGAGAGGACAGCTCCAGAGCAGTGCCCATGCCACTTCCTTCTCTCTCAGCTTCCACCTTTCTAGGACAGAGGTCTAAGCTGCCCAGGCTACAGAGAGAAAACTGGAGATGAGAAGCAAGAGTCTCATCTCAACTGTAAATACTCAGGAGTTAAGCTGATTGAATAAAATGAGTGGAATGAAGATACTGTCAGTCACTAGAATGCTGTGGTGGTAATGGCTTGTCATGCCAAGAGGGAAGTGCAGTGTGATATTTGCCTCTCCTGAAATTATTACTCTCACTGGTGCTTTATAATTTTCTTTCTTTGACAGAACAAGCCTGTAATGGCTTTTGGACTGGTAGCCCTTTCACTTTGTGTGGCTTATATTGGTTATCTGCATGCAACACAAGAGAACAAGAAGGACCTCTATGAAGCTATTGACAGCGAAGGACATCATTACATGAGGAGAAAAACATCTAAATGGGATTAAAGTGTTGGTTCCCTCAGGTGGAGTGTTATTATGGGCTCTGAAATCTTCAAATGAAAGACTTTCTGAGAGTGTGGAATTGTGTTAACTATGTTCCTTCTTCCATAGTCTGTTAGCAAGAGAGAATACACGGTTGGAAACAGTCCACTGTAGTAAATTTGGTCCGGTTACAGCTGCAGCTGTTATCTCGTCCTTTTCCCACAAAAGAATTTCTCAATATTTCTTCTGTGAAAATGCCATAATATATAACAAAAGTACCCAGTACTATTAAATTTGCATGGAGTTTGTAATGTTATAAAGTGAACTGCACCTTTGCAGCTAATGTTTTGCTGTTATTATTTAGAAGATATCCCCTTCTAAATAATAGAATAAAACAAATTAATTGGAAATTTTCTTTTAAAATACTATACTGAACCTGATAGTGAGAAAATGGGGACTAGAATGCTTGGCATAGGAGAAGACTTTCTGAACAGAACGTCATTAGCACAGGCACTAAGATCAATAATTAATAAATGGGACTTCATGAAACTGAAAAACTCTGTAAGGCAAAAGACACACTCATTCAGACAAAGAGGCAGCCTACAGAATAGGAAAAGATATTTTTTACCAACTCTGTGTCTGATAAAGGACTCAATAAGCTAGATATTAAAAACCAAATAACCCAATTTAAAAAACAATGGTACAGAGCTAAAAAGAATTCACAATAGAGGAAACTCAAATGGCTGGGAAATACTTAAAGAAATGTTCAACATCCTTAGCCACCAGGGAAATACAAATCAAAACTACTTTGAGATTCCATCTTATACCTGTCAGAATGACTAGGACTCTACATCCTACTACAGAGACACTTGTTCATCTATTTTTATTGCTGTTCTATTTATTCATAATGGCCAGAAATTGGAAACAACTTAGATGTCCCTCAACAGAAGAATGGATAAAGAAAATATGGTACATTTACACAATTACTCAGCTGTTTAAAAAATGGCATCATGAAATTTTCAGGCAAAAAGATGGAATTGGAAATGACCATTCTGAATGAGGTAACCCAGACCCAGAAAGACAAGCACATTATGAGTTTACTTACATGTGGATATTAACCATTAAGTAAATAATAACTAAGCTACAGTCCATAAGCAGAGAGGTAGGTATAGAGGGAGGGTCTAGAGGAAACACATGGATCTCTCTAGGAGGGAGAGAGAGATGTTACAGGCAGACTTGGTTGTTTGTGGAGGATTGAAAGGATCAGGTGGGGAGAGGGAGGGTCTGTGGAGAGAGACAGCTATATTTGAGGGGTGATATGGAAACCTAGTGTAGTAGAAACTTTCTAAATATGTAAAAATGATCCTAATGAAGTCTCCAAATAATGGGGGAGATGGAGTCCCAACTGGGCATCTCTTGTCACCAAATGAAGCTTCCGATACAGAGATTGGGTTATATCCAATTGAGTTGTTGGTCAAAGGGGTCTTATGGAAATTCCCAAACAACCCAGGTTTTTGCTAAGACTATAGGCTTCTCTCCACAAACAGATAGCAAGGCCCCATTGCTTAAGACAACACCTACACAACTCAGTGAACATGGAGAGGTCAAGCTGCAGCCTACATAGAACCTTCACCCCTGCGTTCTAGTGTCTTTGGTATGGGAAGGTATTCTGCAGGCTACCAAAAGAGAAATGAAAACTCCAACCCAACCACAAATCCTTTGATTTACAATGCTGTTCTGCTTGCAGAATATGCTAGGGCAATGGTGGTACAAAGCTTGTGAGAGTTACCAACCAATGTCTGATCTGACTTAAGGCCCACTTCAGGAGATGGAACCCATACCCAACACTGCTCAGGTGACCAAGAACCAGAGACCTAGGGGAAAAGCAAATACTACTCATCTAGTAAAAAAGTATAACAAATGACTCCTAATCAAGTTCTGCTATATTCATAGATCAATCATTATCAGAGAAGCTTCCTCCTCCAGCAGATGGTAGCAAATACAGAGACCCACAGCCGGACACTAGGGAGAGATACAGACAGAGACCTTGGAACACGCTGCTCTATTTTTCTTTTCTTTTTTGAGACAGGATTTCTCTGTGTAACAGTCGTGGCTGTTCTGGAACACTTTTTTTAGACCAGGCTGGCCTTGAACTCGATTCTACCTCCTGAGTGCTGGGATTAAAGATTTGCCCCCAACTGGAACACACAGCTCTAAATGGGATGTCTCTATCTAATCTCTTCTCTATGAGCTCAGGGAACCTTAAGGAAAATGAGGCAGAGGGGATGGAGGATACCAGGAGAGCAACTCTCTCTGAATCAACCAAACAAGGTTCATATGAACTCACAATGACAGGGCCAACAGGTCCTCTGTATCTATATTATATCTTTTAGTTTAATACTTCATGCAATTTTTGAGCATGTGAACGAGTGGGTCTTGATTCTTGTGCCTGCTCTTCCGACTATTTTCATTCTGTTGGGTTGCCTTGTCCAACTTCAGTGTCATGGTTTTATCTTATTATATTTTATTGTGTCATGTTTGTTGTTATCTCTTAGAAGCCTGTTCTCTTCTAATGAGACACAAAAAGATAATGGATCTGGAAGGGAAGGGAGATGGGAAGGAATTGGGAGGAGTAGAGGGAGGGGAAACTGTAATGAGGACATATTGTTTGAGACAAGAATCTATTTTCAGTAAACAGAAAGTTTTATACTGGGCTGGGGAGATGACTCAGCAGGTAAAGTACTTGCTACCCAAGCCAGAGTTTGAATCCCAGAATCCATTTAAAGCTAGACACAGCTTCCAAGGCCCCAACCCCAGCGAGTCCAGCTTCAGGAACGACATCAGCCCTTCCAGGTCCCAAACTCCGTGTCAGCATCCTCAGCTTTAGCTTCAGGAAGGAAGGAGACCAGTGGAGACAGAAAGACCCCACCAGCACCCACTGGAAGAAGAGATGGGAAGAAGACAGAATAAGAGCTCACTCAGCAATAGAAACACCAACATGTCCCCACCAGAATCTAGGGATCCAACACCAGCAAGACCCGAAAAGCACTACATAGATGAAGAAGAGGAGACAGACCTTAAAAATTATTTCATGAAGATGATGGAGACCCTCAAAGAAGAAACGAGGAAATCCCTTAAAGAAATAGAAGAAAAAACAAACAAAAAAATCCATGAAATGGGGGAAAAATTCAAGAAATAAATCTCTCAAAGAATCTAAAGAGCAACAAGAAAAAACAACCAGAAAAATTAAGGAAACAACTCAAACAGTTGAAGGATTGAAAGCTGAAATAGAAACAATAAAGAAAACACAGAATGAAGGGATGCTGGAAATAGAAAAGCTGGGTAAACGATCAAGAACTACAGATGCAAGTATCACCAATAGAATACAAGAGATAGGAGAGAGAATCTCAGGTGTTGAAGACTCATTAGAGGATATAGAGTCTTCAAGCAAAGAAAATCTCAAAACCAACAAATCCTTAACACAAAATATCCAGGAAATATGGGACACCGTGAAGAAGCCAAACCTGAGAATAATAGGTATAGAAGAAGGCGAAGAAATACAACTCAAAGGTACAGAAATCATATTCAACAAAATCATAGAAGAAAACTTCCCTAACCTAAAGAAAGATATGCCTATGAAAATACAAGAATCTTACAGAACACCAAATAGGCTGGACCAGAAAAAGAAGTCACCTCGCCATATAATAATCAAAACATCAAACCTACAGAGTAAAGAGAAAATATTAAGAGCAGCTAAAGAAAAAGGCCGAGTAACATATAAAGGCAGACCTATCCGAATTACACCTGACTTCTCAATGGAAACGATGAAAGCCAGAAGATCCTGGACAGATGTCCTACAAACACTAAGGGAACAAGGATGCCAGGCCAGACTACTATATCCAGCAAAGCCCTCAATTACCATAGATGGAGAAAACAAAATATTCCATGACAAAGCCAGATTTAAACAATACGTATCCATGAATCCAGCTCTACAGAAAATGCTAGAAGGAAAACCTAGATCCAAGGAAGATAACTACATTCACAAAGACACAGGCAATATATAATCCCACTTTACAAAACACCAAAAGAAAAAGGGAGGAGAAAGTACACAAAATAACTTCACTAACAATAAATCAAGCACAAACAAGGATCATCAATCAATGGTCATTAATATCCCTCAATGTCAACGGCCTCAACTTGCCTATAAAAAGACACAGACTAGCAGAATGGATACGAAGACAGAACCCTTCCTTCTGCTGCATACAAGAAACACATCTCAATATCAAAGACAGACGTTATCTCAGAGTAAAGGGTTGGGAAAAGATCTTCCAATCAAACGGTCCCAAGAAACAAGCTGGTGTACCAATCCTAATATCTAACAAATTAGACTTCAAATTAAAATCAATCAAAAGAGATGAAGAAGGACACTTCATATTCATCAAAGGAAAAGTACATCAAGACGAAGTCTCAATTTTAAACATCTATGCCCCAAATACAAAGGCACCTACATTCGTGAAAGAAACATTACTAAAGCTCAAAATGCACATAAAATCTCACACACTAATAGTAGGAGACTTCAACATTCGCTCTCACTGTGAGACAGGACCTCCAGAAAGAAACTTAACAAAGAAACAAAAGAACTAATAGAAGTTATGACCCAACTGGGTTTTAACAGACATCTATAGAACATTCCACCCAAATACAAAGGGATATACCTTCTTCTCGGCACCACATGGAAGCTTCTCTAAAATTGACCACATAATAGGAAACATAGCAAATCTCCACAGATACAAAAAAATGGAATAACCCCCTGCATCTTATCAGACCACCATGCATTAACATTAGAATTCAACAATAACACAAATCGCAGAAACCCTACAAACTCATGGAGATTGAACAATGCACAATTGCACCATCCCTGGGTAAAGGAAGAAATAAAAAAAGAAATTAAAGCCTTCCTCGATTTCAATGAGAATGAAGACACAACATACACAAACTTATGGGACACTTTGAAAGCAGTGCTGAGAGGAAAGTTTATAGCACTAAGTGCCCACATGAAAAAACTGGAGAACAGTCATACTAGAGAATTAATAGCAC